GAGACAAACGGATTACTTATATAATATGGTTTTATGCAAATGTTGTGAACAAATCTATTATTATTACTTCTTTAGAACAATATCCTATTAATTTTGAGAGTAGTATTCCTTCCTCTATGAAGGGTTGTTGTTGTTTGAGGACTCGAATTGCATTATGTCGAGCGGCCAACAGAGACACTAACACACAATCACTCGCTGAGCCCTGAGAACCAGAGAACCAATTCAATTTGCATCAAATTTATTCACTATATTTTGTTATCATTCATGTTAAATTCAAATATTATTAAACAACACATATTTAAAAAAATATAAAAGTAATAATATATGTAAACATTTATTACATTTTATTTACATTTAATTTAATTGTATTGAAACTTTTTAGTTTACTAATTTTAATGAATTAATAAATAATATTTATTGAGGAAAATTAAATGTTATATAAATTGTAGGAATGATAAAATTGTGTTAAAATATATAATTAAATAAAGCTTATGCCTTTTTAACTTTTTATAGTCATGTTTCTAGCAAGTTAATAAGTGATAAATTAGATTAAAATAAAAATTACATAAACTAACATGTTCGTATTTTAATTCTATATAAATGTAATAATATATCAATAGTTTAAACTCACATAATGTAAAGCCTTATATTTAAAGCCAAATTTGTAAAATTTATTTTCTAAAAGCAGTTTATGAATTAGTGCTACAGTTTATACAATTATTGTTAATTTTCTTCTTTTTAAAAGGATTTCTTATCCAATAATCAAAATATAATACAAACTAATAACAACGCTTACAATTCATTTAAAGATCTAAATACTTATTGTTACTAAAAATAGTTTTAAAAAAACATTTTAAAAAATCAAAACAAATATAAAATTAATGAACAAAATATGTTGACAAAAGTGAGTGAAATGATGATAAATACCTGTATAACTCCTCCGCCTTTACTTTTATGATCTGAAAGGCAAAGGAATTCCTTCGGCAAACCAATCATCTTTCCCATCCAATCCAACATTATTATCTCCAATTCAGTACAGGCAGGACTCGCTGCCTATAAATACAGTCAAATCAATTATTACAGCATAAATCACTTTTATATCAAATCATTTATCATTTACTTAACACAATATTTTAATAATGTTATTTGAATCAAAATGATGTGGATCATAATATTGGGTTTATTTATTTAATTTGTTACTTATATAATTACTTACTCTATTTAAAATTAAGACTTAATAAATGTGTTATTAAAAAGTTTTAAGTGCAGTTATCAGGTAATAAAATATTAAATAATTTATAAACAATATGCAATTTATAATAACTAGTTATATATCAGATTAATATTAATTATAAAAGTATATCATAGAAATAAAAGCAGTTGATGTAAAATGGTTTATACCCATGAAAAGCCAACACATCCGATGCCGTCGGAAAGCATATCCGCGAGTATTGATGGGTAGGAATTGCCGGCCGGGAAGTACGCGTGAAACCTCGGGTGTTGCCAATGTGTCACTCCAGGCATTATATACTTCTCAAAATCAATCATAATTTTGTCCCAATCTTCCGACCGTTTTGGAGCGGAATCGGGCAGAAAATCTTTCAGATATCCGGGCTCTACATCAGGTGTTACTCGTCTTTGAGAGATTGTCTCCAAATAGTCGGCGATGTAATCAACCATTTGTTTTCCGCGACGACGAAACTCATTGGTATCCATTTGTTTGGCGAATATTCTTTGGATCAATTTGTCCGTCGAGTTGTCCAACTTTTCGGTTGTAATGACCGTCCCTTTTGTGCCTTTCCTGGTAGTGGTTGGTGTGGAAGTGTCGGCAGTGACTGCGCCCGTCGTAGTGGTGGTGGCGGACGGCGACGACTGAGGAGGTCTGGCGAAGAGGGAACGACAGTCGCCGAAGAGACGCATATAACACAACCAGTCTAAGTGCCACAGTTTGACGCAATCACTGACTCTACTCTTCAAATCAAATTCAACGATAACTTACAACAAAAATTTTTGTTAACACTCTTTCATATATCGATAATGATTTCAATTAAGTTAAACACAATTTGATTGCCAATTGAATGAAACCCACTCTTCTGGACATCATCGACAATGTGTGCACTTATCTCAAGTGTTTGCTTTATTTATATTACAATACTTTATACAAATATGTTTTCAATTAATATTTAAATATTTGTTAACAATGTTTTGTTTGTTAAGAGATAATAAGATAGAAATTAACGTTTAAAAATGTGAAAACCAAGTAATGATAAGTAAAATCATTACACTTGACAGTGGCTTCACTTTTTATATAAAACACAACTAATAAAAGCAGTGGCCGTTGCCTACAAGTCGTACACGTCCTACAAGTGCCTACCAGTGCCTATCAGTGCTCAATGGTTTCCTTGGAGACATCGAAGAATATTCTTATATATGAAATGCTTTTCCAGAAGAGAATGTGCTATCATTTAAAGTGATCGTCGAGTGCATCATAACTGCATCACATCATCATTTCATAGCTTTATTTTCAATTAACTGCAGAATTTGGTCGACTATAATGGTGTGACCCCTCACATACACATACAGTCCTCACTTACACTCACATATTTGTTCAAAATATATTCTCATAACTCTTCAATACTCTCTCTCTCTCTCTCTCTCTCTCTCTCTCTCTCTCNGGTCGACTATAATGGTGTGACCCCTCACATACACATACAGTCCTCACTTACACTCACATATTTGTTCAAAATATATTCTCATAACTCTTCAATACTCTCTCTCTCTCTCTCTCTCTCCCCAATGCATTCATATTTAAAAGTATTCTCATTTTTATGGCAATAATCAAAAGCATGAGATGATGTATTGTGTGCTTTTGTCTGATATTCGCTTATATATCACCTCTAAATAGATGTTCAGTTATAACCCAATTCACAATAATATAGAAAGACTGTCTGTAGTAATTTTGCATAAATATTTTCATTACTTAACTCTATTTATAATTGTTATAAAAACTAACACTTATTGTCTTTAAGAATTTATTAAAAATTCCCAAAATTGCAGTAAAAATTTAATTAATAAAAGAAAATTTGAGTTTAGAATTGAAGAGAATTATTGAGTTTATAAAATATCGTTAATATTAAATATAAATTATATCATATAGCTAAATAATCAAATGTAATATCAATAATAAATTTACACAACAATTGTTTTACAATTAAGAAATGAAATAAATGACAACTAGTAATTTAATTACAGTAAAGTGTAAATGTTATTTATTTTATTGATATATTGAATACGGCGTTGATTTTCAATTCAAGATGTAATCCAATCCCTAAACTTGAAGACATGTATTCATTGAAAGCAAACCAAAGTGTGTCTGAATGTGGTTTGATTTTGTAGAGGAAGTCAACGCTTGAATTAACGTTTGCGAAATAATAAAAGCAATTACTGTTCACTTCTATTATTTACTCAATTATTATTTTCTAAGAATAGCATAAAAATTTGGAAACTACTCTCTATATCAATATCATAAATGTAATTAAAAATTAACAGTAACATATTTGTTGATATCTTTGTAATAGATAATATTGTTAAATGTTAAATGTAATTCATTTATTTATACAAATTAATGCAAATATTATAATAACAATAAAGTTATAATGTTATTATTATTACTTAATTGTTATGATTATGTTATTATTATTATTTAACTGTTATTATAATAGTAAAGTAAGTACTATAGTAAAATAAAAAGTAAAAGTAAAGTAAAAACTTTACATACATATCATACTGTATGTACAGTATATAAAAATAACAATATTCTTGATGTTTGAAACTAAATTCTGTTGCAAAAATGATTTTCAATTTGTAAAAATCAGATTTAAAAATGATTTTAAATCAATTATAAGAGTGAATTGCAAGGAAAACACAATAGAGATTTTAAGTAAAGCTCAGATTTAATAAATTTAATCTGAATTTATATTGAATTATGATTTTTATCGTTTT